TTTATGTTTAGTTGTGGTTATACTTTATGTTATGTTATGTTAATTTATTTAATTTTATTTATTTTATGATTTTTATATATTTTATGTTCCTATGTCCAGCACTTTGGTCAGTGGTTGCTGTACGTAAAGGGCTTTATAAATAAAGTTGACTTGACTTGACTTGACTTGACTTGACTAAGAAAGAAATGATGCCTCGACTGCGCACCTTCTGGCATGCTGGCCTGCTTGTACTTGTCTCTGCAATCAGCCTGACTTTCATGGGTATGATGTCTTTGTGGAATGAGCAGTTTGTCTCCTTTATTGGGCAACAGCTGCCAAATGCTATTATACATGTAGATTGAAAGCATAGCATGTTGTTGGCCAGTTGGTTACTAAAGTAAACCTGCATTTTGCCACTATATAGCAGTTTATTATTATTTATTGTTTATCTGTCTCTTTGTGTGACTTTTGCTGACATAGATCATGATTTGAGGTAGCTGGCCTTTCACTCATTTGGATATGTTTTCCATCCATCCATCCATCCATCCATCCACCCATCCATGCTTGTCCTATGCAGGGCAAAAAACCTAATAGAATAGTTTGTTTGATTACTGTAGCCTGTATTATAATGTTTAAAATCACATATGTAGGGGGTTCATTTGGATATATGTCATTATAGATTTAAACTACTGCCTAAATCTTTCATTATTCAACTTCCTTTCTTTTTGATATTTCACTCTTCATTGCCTGGTGAACTTTACTAGTCCTTTAAATGATCTATCAGCCGAGAAATGAGTCCCACGTGGGGGTGTGAAGCTGCCCGTTACGGAACAATGAAACCTGAGCGGTAATCCGTATTACATCGTGTCCTGGACCTCGATGGGGGCTGTTCTGAAGGTACGCCTTGTTTCAGGTTCCCCTGAGCTGCTTTTAGTTCCACCTTGTCCCATGACTTTTTCCATCGCTGTCCCGCTGGTCCCAGCTCCTCAACTGAACCTCAGTCCTGTCACGGTGTATGTTACAGGGGGCAGACGATCAGGTGCAGATATTTTTGTCTGCTTTTCAGGTGATTGACGCGACATATTTTCCAAACGCGCGCTCTCTGTCCGGTGGTGGGAGTGTGCTCACCTGTCGTGGGACGGAGCTCCACGATACAGAGAGCAGAGGAGAATTGTGAACGCACGACCGTGTAGAGACAAAAATCACAAGCTGTTGTGTAAATAAGATAAATAAAATAAGGCTATTTAGTTTGTTTAATAAAAGAACAATATACAGTATAGATCTGTTCTATACGAAAGGTAACCTTAAATGACTTCTGTTGTGATCTGGTGCTATATATAAAATAAAATTGAGTAAAATTAACTTGACCTTCAAGAGGGGGGCGGAAGGTGCCGTTGGGGGAGTGGGACCTTCCCCTAATATAATGTTAGGGGAAGCACTGGTTTAGTTGTAAGACTGTTGTAAGACTACTGGCACTAGACATGACATCCATGAGAATTGCAACCAGTATTATGTTGTTTGTATTTTCAATAATTATTTTCTTAAGCACTGGGCCATGATCCTGATTGAAATATTAAGTCTTCCCCCCCCCCCCAAGGTGATTTTCCACACTCAAGAACTTTAGAAAGGACCCAGACTAATCACTAGGGGTTGTTGTATGCAGTTAGGCTGCACTAGACAGGAAACTCCTTGCTTTTGTACTAGCGGAGGTCCTTTGTGATGAGTCTTAAGGCCTGTTGTTGGTAAGCCACGTGGTGTTGCTTCTCTGGTTCAGTTAAAGGCTGCGCTTTCTCCATAGTCAGCAAGCATAGCTGAGTCTGACCTCGCATTTATCAGGCATTAAACATCTCAGCATGTCAGCTGGAGGGCGTCTTCAATAATGGTCCTTTCGCAGGTGTGTCCTTGCTTTTACGACTGTGAAGCATCAGGAAATTTCAGTCTGTGTGTGTATTTTGAACCAGCAAAACCAGGACTGGTGTGAACTTGAAGGCGATTGGTGTTGCTTGTCTGTGTGTGTGGTGGATGGACCCTCGGGAGAAGCTCTTACTGCTTTAGACACTGTGGTTGGACAGGGGCCCCTTCAAGCGGTAAGTTCCACTTTCTTGGTCAACATTTATTCAGCCCAATTACGGCTGTGGTCCAATGAAGATCGGGCCACTCCGGCTGACCCCAATCCAGACGTGGCTGCTTTGGCCATTCAGAAGGTTGGACAAAGCTGGATAATGGATGTGTGGCTACCAGGAATCATTGCTGTGTCCCTGGTTTCTGGGATCTGGGATCAACACAGGGATTCACATTTTTAGCATGGGTTCGGACTTATTCACTGCCTTACTTTGGCTGTGGTCAGGGGTTTGTTATTTTAGAAGGTTCTACAAATGAATCCTTTGTTATCAGTCTTGCGATTAGATCAGAGATGTCAATGGATATTGAGAGGGATCTTAGATTGTGATGCTGGCGAAAGTCATCCTTGGCCAAATGGGGGTTTTGCTGTGCATGTACTTTGTCTGCAGGGCTACTGTAAGACCTGTGGATTAATGGGCCCTGTTGTGTCTGTCTAAACTTCTCCTTTTCCGTATTGACTTCTTTTGAAGCTGTTTTCTCACTGTTGCAAGAACATCAAGTAGCTTCTCTGTTTGTCCTTGAAGATATAAGTCAATTCCTTTTAAGAAGTACTTGTTCTATTCTGTATCTGTGCTCTTTGTGCCTGCCTCCAGTTTGTTTGCTGCAGAAAGCACTGTACATGGGATAGTTTAGCCCAGCATATAAACCCTTTGACCTTATTAACTCAACCAGCCCTTGGAGACCACTGCTTGACCTAAATAAATGTCTATTGTGTGTCTGTCTGCATCTGTCTGTGTCTGTCTAAAAGTTTCACAGGAGCAAAATAAGGGAATAAGAGTTCCCACACTGGCAGCTCCAGGAAGATTTTAACCTTTGAACGAAGCATAGGTATGCCTCTCTGGAATTTTGCAAAGAAAGACACGCTCTTCTGGTTTTCAAGGAGATTTTGGTCCCTTAACAGGTTAATGGGCTGCTTAAATTGCCAGTGCTTGATTAGGTACCGGTTTTTGTACACTTGGGTTGCCAAATATTTGGTCTTTGCAACCAAGAAGCAGCGGTTTAGCAGCTACAAGTAGGAAATGGTAAACATATTGAATAAACAGCCCCAGTTTCAGCATGCAGAAGCTTATCTGTGGGTAATCAGTATGTAGATATGACTAAAATAATCCCTTTTTAATGTGCTCAAAGAACTGACATGAAGAAGAATAGTTAATATATAGTACCTGGAGGAAACACCACAACGACATGGGGAGAAGATACAAACTCTTCACATGGTGCAGACGTCAACTCTGGTCCCAGAGGTCTGAGGCAACAGTGCTACCCACTGCAGTGCCGTGCTGCCCTGGTTAATATACATTTTCTTATTTGGGGGAAAAAAACTGAATGAATGGTTGCCCTGAAAATATTTATATAATCAGGTGAAAACTTTACTTCCCGAGTGGGCACTGTGTAGCAGGTCAGCAAAGCCTCGATCATCCTGGTCGATACTCTGTTAACAGGGTAAATAAAACACTTATATCATTTTGCTAGCTTCCTTCCTTGTACACTCCGCTTCCTAAGTGTACGATGCATCATCATTACTTACAGAAAACTGTGGGTCGGCACAGAAGAGAAGTGAGGAAACTTTGTATCACGTTATAGGATTTCTTGTGTCTGAAATGGGTCCCATATATTAATGACTCTCTTCAGATTGTCAGATAGCCCACACCTTTCCATATGCAGTGAGGATGAAATGCTTACCAGCTTCACGGTAAACCACAACTAAATTCCTGATGCGGGTGTGCAATTGCAGCATGCAACATGAGTTTGTTTTGCGTCAGTAACGACGTGGTGAAAGGCAGTTACAGTCCTCTGGAGATTTTTCATGGTAATGCACATTTGACATTGTTTTCATTGTGTTATGAGATATTGGCTATGCTATTTTAATTTTGTGCATGGTGCTGCTAATTTATTTGTGGTTTTCAATATAAAACTTGATGAAATGATTTCAGTTTGTGTATCAGTACTTTCTGAACATTTTCTGCACATTTTAACAATAATGCGATTAATACTGATGGCAGTGATAATTTTGGTCACTATAATCGTGATATTAAATTTTCATACCATTTTCATCTCTAATGTGCAGTACATTGGCTAATTCATTGGGTCTATTTTTTATAGAACAGGCGCCTGAGAACTCTGTGCTACTGTACTAATGCCAAAGTGGTAAGGGGACATTCTGACGTTTTCGATTTGATTTAGTGTTTTGGAAACCTAAAATCTCACTTTGGAACTTTGGGTCGCTTCCAGTGATTCAAGCAGGCATCAGTTTTCACTTTGCTGTTGATTGTGTGCGGTTTGTATCTATTTTCTGAAGCCTTAATTTCTAAGCCTGAGGTCTGTGTGCAGGACTCCTGAGCTGATTAGGAGTTGCCCGACTGGTCGGCCGTGCTCTAAGCTCACCAGCTAATAAATATGGTGCATCTTGTGCACAGGAACATTTTTTAGTTTTGAGAAAATTTTTGCTTGCAAATCAAAAAAATGTGTTTTCAACTTGCTAATTTTGAGAATTATTTATAGTGCTCTGGAAGTGTTCTTTGAGAAAGTGGTCATTCTGAGGCTGGTGTAGTTGATCTCAGTCCTGAGATGACATGAGCTCTAGGTTCCAGTTCGGGCGCTCCCTAGATGGGATGCCAGTAGAAAGGTCAGTCACGTCCAGACATTTAGCGGCGGTCCTTTAAAGCCGCTAATGAAACGTTAGCGAGGTGAACCGAGCGGAGGTTCCCCGTGAGCGTGGCCGTGGGAGACCCGTGCTGTCCTCGCTCTTTCCAAGCAGGAGAAGCTGCTCATGCCTGCTGCTGGATGCGTGTGGTTGTAACCCGCCTTAGCTAATCCTCTTTACCCTCCTGTGGGTATTGGGTTGGGGGAGGGAGGCTGAAAGAATGACCTCAGTCTTATTCTGCTCTTAATCTCCTGTTTAGTGCCGTGAAGGAAAGATTGGTGTCAACTGGTAAAGACATTCCTGAACTGTGGCGAGCAAAGGTATGATGTAGGGGAGCCGTGATGTCAGATGTGGGGATTTTTGAGTGCATGTTGACGTGCTGACAGGGACGTGGATTGATTGCATGGGGCGTTGGTTTGGTTTCATCTGCTCTGATCTTTATTTTTTTTTACGCAAAAGTTCAGTTCAGATGAAGTTGATGGGGGCAGGGGGTGGGGGAGTAGCCCACCTTCAGAGTCATTCATTTATTTGTCTGTGTGTGTGTGTGTGGGGGGGGGGGGGAAGTAATTCTGTTGCTATGTACTTGTTTAAATTGTCATGTGCTGTTTTTCTGATTGAACATCAAGATACACAAGAGGTTGTCAGGTAGCATGTAGATTAGGGATAATTTTTTTTAATTAATAATTCATTCTTTTTTTCTATTTAGTTTCTTAATAAGATATCTAAGATGGCTGCCTAGGGTCCAGGGGTTATGTAATGGGGTTTTTAATGCAAAAAAATAATCTGGGTGGCTGAAGCATTACTGTGCATTGTACGGTTTATTTTAGTGATTAATTATGTGGTTCTTGTTAACTATAAGCTTTGGTATATCAATATGGCCTAATACACTTTTGATCAAATTTGCAGCTTTATTCATACAGGTTTTAAAAATATATATAAATTATCACCATATTTACACCTGTAACAACAGGAGAGGGCTGAATAATACCCATTTTCAATATTTTACAGATTATTTTTTTTTTTTTTTTAAAAACAAACAAACTGTGTAATATGTGCTGATGATTCAGGAATGGGACACCTTATCTCCAACAAGGATTCCAGGAGCAACATAAGAGTGTTGTCAATTTATTATTTCTTGTAAAACCTTTATGAATAATACTGTCATTTATTGATTTCTAGCAGATTCTATAATCTAAGCCAGGCATAAAACAAACTTAGGCTACAACCTAATATTATAACACTTTGTGTTGAATGGATCTCTTGAATAGATAGATTTTGCCTAAGCTTAATGTTAATCCTTTTTTTGTGGCTGTTTGTGTGGTAATACACACATATGCTGATTTTCAGTGTTTTATGCTTGACGTTTCAAACCATATTAACTCCAGCAAAATATGGATAAGAAGCTGCTGGTTTCTCATTAACTTTGTGAGAGACACCTGGACCATTGTTTCAGCTTGTGCCTGTTGAGAATTTAGATCCCACCCTCCTTGTCAGTAATGAGTAAATCACAGGTTAACTCTGGGATAAACTTGTTCCAGAGGTGCAGTGATTAAAGATCTATTTTTGGATGTCATAATACTTCCTTATTTATTTTATTACAGAAATAAAATGTGATAAAGGGTTTTTTAGTACTTAATAACTTAGTTTGAATACTTATATCCTGATGAAATGTTCTGCAGCCAGAGAATTGAATTGCATCGTCTTTAATGATTGTGATACAGCGTTGTGGTCTGAAGTCATGCTTCTGTAAGTAAAAGTTTCTGCTTGGCAGTGTTTACCTATCCGTTCCCTGCTTTATTATTTTTAAGAAGCTTTGTGCAGTACATATAGAATTAGGTGATCAGTGGTCATTGTCAACACACCACAGCACACAACAACGCACTGCATCTAACCCATATGTGACGTCATGACATAGCAGGGGGCAGCTAATTTAGCGCCCGGGGAGCAGTGCTTGGGGGCGGTACCTTGCTCAGGGGACCTCAGTGGTGCCTTGCTGGTCAGGGATTCGATCCTGCAATCTTTCAATTACAAGTGTGCTTCCCTAACCATCAAGCCACCACTGCCCATATAGACATATACTTATGTGTGTTCTTCTAATAAAGGGAAATTGAGGATTTCAGGGTAGACAGGTTTCTTTTTAACATAATGCTTTCAAAAACGGTGTCTTCTTGAAGGTGAAGGTCTAAGGAATAGTGAATCGGCAGTTGTTTTGTAGATGCTGAATGCAGTGAGATGTACCGGAGGCTGGTGACGGAACAGTACTCGTTTACGAGATCAACCAACTGTTTGCTAAATCACATAATTGTCCCTGGTGAACATAGCAGCTTAGCACTGAAATTCTATGCTACTTTTTGTGCATTTATAATGTACACTGTGAGGACCCTGAATGTGACATGAGGAAGACATTCTGGGGGAATTACATCTGTATGGTCGCTATAAACTTGATGATGATGTCTCCTGATAATGGGTATCAAACCAGGTTATAAAATATCTAAGCCATTCATCAGACTCTTGGCGGTCAGATCTCAATACCAGCTTCCATTTTAGTGAGGAGACAGGGCTGTTCAAATGACCACACTTGTATTGCTCTCTAAGGGATGTGCTTGGTTTCATCTGGCAAATCTCTCACCAGACTATTGACCTTCCTGCAGAATGTCACACAATAATTAAGAACCTGGCAGAAAGGTGGACGCTTCCAGTTCCAGGTAAGGGTCCTGTAGTTGGACCTTTGAGTGGGATACTTCACCTGATTTGCCCCTAGAACAGGGCTATTCAACTCACAGTCCTCGAGGGCCGAGCCCTGCTGATTTTCTAGCCTTCCTTTACCTGTGAGCCAGGTGTGAAGCCTCTGACCAATCAGAATCAGTAATTATTAAACTAACTACGTGGGAGAACTGAAAACTGAACTGAAAACATGGCCTAGATTTGGAATCGAGGGCCTGAATTGAATATCCTTGCCCTAGAAGGTTTCCCGCATGTAAATACACAAAAGTCAGTTTGGATTAGCAGCATCAGTAAAGCAACTTAAAAATAATATCTGTATCCGTATTTGTGTCTTCCTACTGTTTAGAGGCGTTGGGTTTATCGTAGATAATCCAGATGAATGAGAAATCTCTCCTGTATTCTGAATTATATGTATTGGTAATTCATATTGTGATGTGTATTTTGAGCCAAATGGACCATGCATACGCACTTTTCAGATAAATGCTAGAAACTTCATATTTTACATTAATATTTTATCCCTTAATAAAGATTTTGGGTAACATTTTACTTAAGGCAATGTGTTTAATAATTTCTAAACACATTTATAACAAATAATAATGCATTCATAAAACGTTATAAATATTTATAAAAAGGCATAACATTTTTATAACCATGTGTTATGCATTATGAATGCTTTATGAAGCTTTTATCTATAATGCACTATAGATACCTTTATAATGCATTAGAATGGTTTGCATAAGCATTAAGGATGCTTCATACTGCATTATAAAGGTATCTATAGTTCATTATAGAGGAGAGCTTTATAAGGCAGTCATAATGCATAATAAACATGGCAATGTGTTATGCTTTTTTATAAATATTTATATCCATGTTTATAATGCTTTATGGATGCATTATAAATGTTGATAAATGACTGAAAACATGATCTTAAGTGTTAACAAATTTTGACTATGCACAATCATCTTTACATAATTCCAAGTATACTCTGCCATTAATTAATTCTGTGTAGGACAAGGTTTCTCCAGCACAGTTAATTATCCACTAAGTTCCATTATTTCAGTGCTCGCTGTAGAAATAGGTGGCTGATGAATAATTGACCTTGATACTCGCTGACCAGCTTTTTCCTGTTACTATATTTTTATTGTTGCTGTGAAAAATGCCAGTGTGCAGACCGACCTTCCTGAGCCTTTCACACGTACGTGTCTGGGTGGACTGTATCTCCATAGTGACTTCTGGCACCAGACTCAAACCAGCTTCCAAAACAAACTCTTCCCTGGATGAGTTCCAGCTGCCCCCCCTCCGCGCCAACCACTATTCCAGCCAACTATCATTGCAGCCTCTCGATAGCAACTGCTTATTAGACTGCACTGACTTCTATCTGAAATTTTGTATTCATTCCACCGCACAGTTCTCCATATGTGCTACAAGTCATTTTACTCCCTCATAGAACACATATATACTTTACCAATGGATCACTTATTTCATTCTTTTTCTAATGTTCTTGGTCATATATATGAAGTGTTTCATCACACCACATATGGCAGAAATTGTTGATACGGTTGATTTAAAACAAATTTATGGGTTTAATGTGCTTAAGTCTTAAGAATGGAATTCCTGTTACGACAGCCAGAGCGTAAACAGTAAAGTCCTTTTACAGTCATTTGTCATGCAGGGAAAAAATATAATGGACACTCCTTAGTATACAATGACTTATTCAGTATACTAATTCATAATAAATCTCTATAATAGGGGTTCCCAACCTTTTGATTTCCATAGTTGATGCTGTACAGAAATCTCACAAACCAGTGAAATGGTCTAGAAGATTGAACTTTTATGACCATGATAACATTCCGATTAAGGAGGCTAGAGAAGCCATTTTTGCCTGGGTGCACCCCAACAGTACAACAGTGTATTGGCATAATTGACCCTGTGCAGCAATCTGTTCATTACCTGTTAGGTTTAGAAATGCAGGGCCTGTTTTAAAAACGATGCATTTCGACATTTATTGCTCCAGAAGATTTAATGCATTCTCTGTTTCGAGATTGTTTCCATGAGGAACTTGCTGCCGGCTATCTGACTGATGTGGCCTGTATGTGAGAGGTTGTATGTGCACGCAAGGGTAGTGAGGATCAGTTCCAGATCTGAGCCCAGATTCTCTTCAGTCTTTGGCTTCTGGTTAATGAGACTCAAGTGTCTCGTGTGTTGACATTTTTTAATTCCATGGAATCAGGAATGAGTATGACCAGGGTTTGCACTCGCGGCACTCAGGTGCTTCAGATGCTGTTGCTATGCCGTCATCGTCGTCACCATCCATTGTCAGTCATGACTTAACTTTTAGCCAATGAAATTGTTTTCTTGGCCATTCTTTAGCCAGTTAAGCAATATTTTATTCGTAATTCTTTTGTACACCGGTGGGTTTACTCTTCAATTCTCTGGAACAATTATATTGCCACACTGTATCTGGTGTGATCTGTTTTGAACTTCCTGGGTATCTAGTTCTGCACTCTCAGGCTAATGTATTTGAATCCGTGTATAGCTACTGCTCAGTTTTGTAAATGATCACGAAAGTCTTCATGCTCTTCTGACATGAACCATTTATTGAAGCACTTGGGGTAAATTTGCTCCTCTAATTAAGGTTTGAAAACACACCCTGGGAAAGGCAAACTGTGCTGGTTCTTGTCTCCTGGGAGTTTGTCTCCTTCTGCCCATCCAGTTCTGCTTCTGCCAAGGTCATTTCATGGGACTCTTTTTTTATTTTGTTCATTATGCTCTTAATTTCATCAAGATCTCTGTACGCATGACTGCTCGAGTGGTCTGTTTTGATGACTCATTCTGTCAAGTGGAAAAACTCAACGTTCCTATTGTGTTCCCCGTACCTACCCCTGTCAGCATTTGTGTGTGCCACACCATTGAGACTACCACGACCTCTACCTGTCCATTTTTGTGGGGCAGGGATCACTGTCCTTGGCAATACCTGCCTCACGCAAATGCTAAATTTATGGTAATGCTAACGCTAAGTCTGGCAGCTCTCCCGGCTCGCTCTGTGCTTGGGGGAGATTTTAGTCACGGCCTTCAGCCTGTGGATGTGGGTCATGCTTAATCAGCCAGCAGCTGGGTAAAAATGAACCAGCAAAGCTGTTTCTGCTTCGTTGGTGTCATGTATCTTGCGTGGCTGATGGCTGGGCGCTGCCGATCGTACTGTGTAAGCTTTACAAAGTCCAAAAGAAGGAAGCTTTCGCTAATCACCCATTTGTCTTACGAGTCAGTTACTGCAGTGCAGTGCAGTGCAGTGCAGTGCAGTGCTGCACCCTACATGCCACTAATACTTCAATAATTCAGTTCGGGAAGACTAAGTTATTACTGCATTGCAATAAATGAAAATCTATGCAAGTATAATTTTCTTACATTTAGACAAAACTCTAATTTCATTAACCAACTAACACATCTTATGAATAGGGTTAATTTGCTTGCATTTAGGCATATTGTCTTATTTTAGGAAATCTTACCAAGTACAATTTTCTTACTGCAATGGCAGATAATTTAGCTCGTCACAAAACAGAAACACTTTATCTTAAATTTGAAGGGCCATTTTTTTGCAGTGTGTAGAGGCATTTTAAAACTTGTGTGCTATATAAAATGTAAGCAAAGACCCAAGGCAGGTATCAGTCGTAAGTTTTACGATCTTCAGTTTGATGAAATTACTTGGGCTATCCGTTTTCCATGGATGCTCACCTGGCTAAATACCTTTCTATTTGGTTCTTCGTTTAGCCAGTGCAAGGCCATTTCTGTCTTCGGAGGTACATAATGAATGGACACACCCCCACCACCAACTCTGCAGGGTCTGGAGGGGACACCTCCCAGCTAAAGTAAGTCTGTCGCCGATTGGCTGTATTTGTGACTCTGTAGCAGCAGAATTTGAAGGTGCCAACCACATGTAGTGTCACAGCATGATGGTTGAAGCTATTGGCTTCTCACTGACTTCTGAACCAGAAGACAGAACCAAATCATGTGTAAATAGTAGTCTAAGGAGTTGGGCATGCATGCGTGTGTAAGCAAATATCAGAGTTGTACGAGTCCTGGCTGGTACGTCTTGTTGCGTAAGCTATGTTTTATTACTTAGCATTGGAAAAGGTTCTTGTGCAGAATTTGTGTCCAGAAGATCGGAATGTATTTGTATAATATGTGGTTGTGTTGTGTATGTTTCATATGTATATGTATGTTTTTCTTTCGTGCTTTGTATCCATCTCGTGTTTTTGTGTAACACGCAACATTGTTGGTTCGCGTGTTTTAGAAGAATTACGGCACTATTTGAAGTGTTATTCTTGACCAATAGAAATCATTTGATTTCTTCTTCAAAAAAACAAACAAACTGAAAAGGCCATTTGGAGGGGGAGTGGCATTGAACACAGGCCAAGTAAAAACTTTGTAACCCTCTTCAGGGCCCCCCCCAGGAAGAGTTCACTCCAGGACAAATTCCTTTCGCTCTCTTATGAAGGGTGCAGTCTTGTCACACTAGGGAAAGTACAATGGCTCATTAGCTGTACATGCAAGATGTTTTTGAGAATAAAATGAAGAGAATCAGTTGGGAGCATCAAGAAGGTCGGATGATGGATTTCCTGCTCTGATGTGTGTTTTTCATGTGACTGTAAAAAGGTCTTTGAACTTGTCTTCTTGTACAGTGATCACAGTTCCCAGGCTGCTGACCAGCCGGACCAGAACCCTTCACCCACATACAATGCTAAAGCTATATATGGTATGTATGCTTGGTTATTTGTTTCCTTCACTGTTGTATCCATGCATCACTGGATTTCACAGATGTATCTCTTCGAGCATTAGCACCTATTCTCCACTTAACTTTTTCTTTAGGTCTATGATTATGAAATTCTAGAAATATTGTATTTGTTAGATATAAACACTTATTCCAATGAAAATGAACCTGATAGGATTTGGTTCTAAGAAGTTAGGTTGAGTTTCCATAGGAGAATACAGAGAAATTGAAGGTGGCAGTAATTGAACTGTGAAGTTATGATCCTCAAGGCTCAGTGTTTTCCTGCTTGTCCGGAGCTGCACCATTAAGCAGGAGTTGGGCTGACTTGTTTCCCGTGGTCCTTCGGTTGTGGGTCCCATCCTCATGGTCCATATCGTCCCCCCGGAGCCACCCCTGATTTGCAGGCATTTTAACCCACCTTCGATGTGCTTAACGCCCCTGGACTGAGACTGAAACTCCTCAGTCTGCGTGTGTAGGCCTGAGTCAGGCTGAGGAGCAGGTGACGCTGTTCCAGGGACGGCCTCCCTCCCTGCACGTGTCCTTCTCTGTGGATCCCTCTCGCACTTTGTTGTTCAACATGCATGAAACCTGCCTTTCACATTGCGGTTCCAGTTTGGCCTTATCGTGCCCAGACTAAGAATACAGTGTCAAATAGACAGTGTAACACTGATGCATATGGAAGCTTGAATAAGAACAATCCAAGCCGTACTGCGTAGGTGCACATCCCATAATACAGCAGACACATGGGCAGGCTGCCCTCCCCCCTTTCACCATTATCTGTCCCCTCGCCAACAGCCACCTAACATCAGCTAAAGAACCAAGAGGTAGCGACCAACAGAGGCATATTTGTTGGGTACCTCTCCCCTCCCCCACCACTGCTGTGCAGAACCAGTGAGACACATAGAGCTGCATGCAGGATCAGCCTCTGTGGTCATGCTGTGGTCACACTGCATCCTCAAAGGCAAAGGAGGAAAATGTTAGCTGAGAAAATCACTGTCTCAAATTTTGTGTATATGTTTTATTATGTCTATATTTCTGTATGTGTTTTTATGAATGTATGTGTGTCTTTCAGAGCAAAGGAAGAAATACACGAAAAACAGTATTAATAGCCTTATGGAAACATCTCAGTATCGTGTGGAAGTAAGATATTCGCACTGATTTGGTTCCCGTCTCTTCATCTTGTGTGAGAGTCTGTGATAATCTGAATTCACTTGGTCTGTTTATAGACTTCCTTTGAAATGAGGCACGTTGAAGCTGTGCAGGTAACTATTGCCTCCTCAATTCCAGCACTTGACCACCTTCTCAATGGACCTCAAGGAGGCCATGTTCACCGTGGACGACGGCCTGCGGAGGCTTAAGCTGCTGGACGCTAAGGGCAAGGTGTGGACTCAGGACATACTGCTGCAAGTGGATGAGAGGAGCGTCTGTCTCATCGACGCCGACACCAAGGTGGGCCGTGTTCCGAGGAACCGCTTCCGGGTGCGAACATGGTGCGGCATGTGGTCCTCAGGTGGACCTCAAAAGCACCAGCACCATCACAGACGAGTGTGTCCTGTTTGAATGCACTTAATTCTCCAAGAGGTCTTTCCCTCAAGAACTTTCTTTAAGTCGTTTCAAAAGTGGATATAATTTTAGAAATGCGTTTTTCAGAGTGTCTCTCTGCACCTTCCCTGACCTTAACCTGGTGTCATGTTAACTATCTTAATTTCATTCTTTAGCTGCCTGGAGGCAACTGACATGTTATTGCTTGATTTATGACTTAAATTGTGACTTTATTTATATATCTGGGTTTGTAATCTATGCTAGTGGCCAAAATTGTGGAAACACATTGCATTTTTGGCATTACGCTTTAAAAATTGCTACACGAATATTGGCGGTAATGTTCATAAACAAAGAATGTTACAAATATCATACACTGGATGATTAAATAAGTAACTGGAACATCAGTTGAATAAAGGTCTGCAGTCTCTAAAAATGTTGGGCCCTAGTGTAGACTCAGCTCATTGTTTGCATTAAATTGTCAACATTAGCGGCTTGGATATCCAGGCGTGGCATTTATTACTAGTGTTTACACTCTTGTGATGTTTTGGTGCGAACACTCCCGTGTGTTTCGTAAACCCTGTTTACTGTATGGCTTTGAGTGTTGGTAAACGTGCTTAGACTCTCGATGTCCTTCAAGTGCACTCGAGATTGTGAGAATTCCATGTGGGAGTCCAGCTGAGATACAGATACTGGGGGCCCTTAAACTCCATCTCTGCTGATGACTCATTCGTGTTTTCAGAACGAGGTGGAGAACTTCCCTCTGAGCTGTATCATGCGGTGCCAGGCGGTGATGGATGCCTGCAACTACGACTCCATCTTGGCCCTGATATGCAAGGAACCAGGCCAGGCCAAACCCGACCTGTACCTCTTCCAGTGCAACGACATCAAGGTGGGGATCTCCTCAGGCCAGAGCGTTGCATTGCTTGAATACCGCAATTACGTCCTGTACCAACAACAGCTGAGTCTCTGAGAAATGGATATTCCAGCCTTTCATAACTACTAAGTTCAGCCAGTAATCAGCTTTAATGGGTATGACATTTTCTGTTCTCATAAGGGTGAGTGTTCCTATTAACCTTACCGTTGCAATGGGTTAGGACACTGTGTCCATTATTGGAAAGTCACTGGTTCAACTCCCAGGGTCAGTGGAGTGATTTCAGTGTTTGGTTCTTGAGCAAGGCACTTAACCCCAGTTTGCTCTCTGAATCATCTGACCCTGCATTCTCAATTGTACATCGCTTTGTATGCAAGCGTTGAATAAATAAATAAATGTAAAAATAAATGTAATAAAAATCTGTTATGCGAGTATGACTAAGACTGCATGCAAATGCAGTGTTCATTAGATGCCAGATGGGATGGTATTCTAAAAGCCCTGAAACACCTATTTTTATTGCAGAGTATGATTTAGTAGTGTAATTTTGATTAGCAGCTGGCATGGAGGCTTACTGGGTGGCACTGTCGTGTCACATCTCTGTGGTTGGCAGTTTGAATCCCAGCCATGCTCTGTGTTGGAGAATTCCAGTTGTGACTCTTTTGTATGGTTCTCCGCTGGGAACCGTGGTTTCCTTCTATTATTCAAAGACATGCAGTGAATCGGTCATTGTGGCTGATGTTGTGTGAGTATGGAGCTGAGTGTGCCCTGCAGTGCACTGGCATCCTGTCCCCTGCCTCACACCTCGCGCTGCCTGGGATAGACTCCAGGATCCCTGCAGCCCTGGTACCTGATAAGTGGCTGCAGCATGAATGGATGGATAGATTTCTCTGACTATCAGTAAAGGAAGTGCTTTGCTCTTAGCAGGCATTGTTTCCCTGTAGGCAAATCTCATCTATGCAGACATTGAAAGTGCCATTTGTGACCTCAAAGCAAAGACCAAGAAGCGACCAGAAACCCTCCGGTGATCAATTTTATTACTACTTTTACTCTGAATTTGCAATATGCATTTCTGAATGTTATACAGGGATATTGATATTCTGTCCTTCATTGTTACATTGTTGTATATTTCTTTCCTCAAGCAGGGTGAACAAGCAAATTTAAAATAATTTATAGTGCCATATGTTGCCTTTTAGAAGTAAAAGGTCATATCAAAGTAAAAAGTCGTATCCCTTCCTGCATCTTGTAATTATAGGGTTAGCTTTTATGGTTCTTTGTTACCTGAGGCACTGCTGTCTACATGCCCTGCTTCTCACCCCCCCCCCCCCCCCCCCCCCCCCCCCCCCCCCCCC